AAAAAAAAAAAAAAATAAAATTATATATATATATTACTCAGGATATGAAACACCCATCGCCCAGATCAGTAATCTATCACCTGCCACCTATCATAAATGCGATTTCCACCCACCCACTCACTCGCTCACACACACACTCTCTCAGCTGAAGAGAAAGTAGGATGTTGACGTGGACTTCACCGCCGTGCTGCGCTTTCAAATCAATGTTTCTTTCTCTAGCCTACAAAAGGTGCCAGCGTAGTGTTTATATAGCTAGCTAGCTACTTTGGTAGTGTGGATGGATAGATGGACACACCGAAGGTGATTTTCTTGATTGTGGGACTTTTCATTTTTTATTTTTTTCCCAAGAGGATATGTGGCGGATGGATACTTTTTATGAGAAGATAGTGCTGCTTCGAAGATGGGTATGGATCAATACGATAAATGGGCAAGTATTCTTTTGATTTATATATGATAGATTGTAGCGCCGAGTAGACATTCCCATACGCTGACCATACCACAATCGTGAGAGATCCCCTCCAGCTCTGCCTCTCCCCTACTACAACTTCGCCCTCACGCCCCGCTGGCCCCTCAGACTCTCCACCACCTCCTCCGCACCCCTCAGCCCGCTCCGAATAGCCCCCTCCATATAGCCACTCCAGACCTCGCTCGTCTCCGTCCCGACAAAGAACAAGCTACCCACCGGCTCCGCCAGCGCCCGGCCGACTCGACTCAGCACCCCCGGCCCCATGACCGGACACGGCGCGCCCTTGCTGTACTCCTCTCTCGTCCACTCCTGCTCGAAGATCTCCACCGGTCTGTACACTTCCTCCCGATTCCCGTAGATGTTCGACACCTGAGACAGGACCTGAGCACGACGCTCGTGCGGCGGTAGCTTGGACCATGCGATTCCGGGCGCGCCGCCGACGAAGCAGGTTAGGCAGTAGTGCCCGTCTTCGGGGACGGAGGTGTCCCGGATCACGGCGGCGGGGGACTGGTACGAGATGGCGAGGCCGCAGGATTTGGACGTCGCGGGGGTTTGGGTCCACCAGGGGTGGTCGTAGCAGAGGATCACTTTGCTGTAGTAGCCGTGTGTGGTGGACGAGGTGGCTGTGGCTTTGGTGCCAGTGAGGGGAGGCGAGATGGTGAGGTCTACGTACAGTGGTGTGGGAATGCTGAGGACGAGTTTGGTGGATTCGAAGGTTTGGCCTGTCTTGGTGGTTACTGTTACGGATGATCCACTGTCTGTGATGGAGGACACCGGCGTGGAGAGGCGGATGGTGTTGGGTTTGAGGAGAGCGGCGAGGCCGATGGCGATGGCTTGTGTTCCTGCTGCTGTTAGCTACATGGCCTAGATCTGATCGCTTGGGGTGAAGAAGTACCCTTTCTGAATCTCAGATATTGGCCCCCGTGCTTCTGATCTGAACGCACTTGCTTCAATCCCCCAGCTTTACCGGCGTATTCGATAAAAAATTGCGCACTCAGATCTGGTGCCTCGATTCCGAGCATCACTCGAGACCAAACCTTTAGCATATCGACGGTCCGCTTCGTTGCTCCTTTACTGATAGCAAATTGCTCCAAAGACATTTGGTCATAGTTCTCAACACTGCTGGCCTTGGACCCGTAGGCTACAGACAAATCGTGGATGATGTCCCTGATCCTCTCCAGATCTGTGACATGGGCATCAGAAAACTGCACTCGCCGTTAATCTCCTATTCCCGTCTCACGTACCACCCAATGGCTTGGTATACAGCTGGAAATCATACCTTTGGTGAAGTGCCGTACGGAAATGCGTGTGTAGAGCCATCGATATCTTGAAAAATACAGTCGCCATTTGTGTTTTGCTGCACAAGCTCAATCCCAAACCGCTTCGTCAACGCATAGACGTGCGATTGATTCGTGTCGTTGATCCAAGCTGCTCCAATGTCGACGGTGCCTCTCCCGTTTGCGAGAGGAACCGACCATGTTTTCCCTCCCACACGGTCACGGGCTTCTAGGACGATGCAGGATAGGCCAGCGTCCTGGATACTGACCGCTGCTTGAAGACCACTCAGCCCGGCGCCAACTACAATGACATCGTACTGTTTCTCTGGCATTTTTGGAATGAGTAAGGACAGAATTAAATATAAGATGATATGGTGTTATATATGGATCGGCAAAGATCAAAGAGCATTTCCTGGATAATATATCTTGAAGCGGTCAACCAAACCCACTCCGAAACTCAGATTATGTCGATGTCAGCCTTGCAGACCGGCTTCGGGCAAAGAGACGCGAGCCGCTACTTCGGACCTAGGACGGTAAGAGAATCTCAATTGCTCAGGAAGTCTAGAGTGGGAGAGATTGAAGCTATTCGGGATCTCCTGCCTCACTAGAAGAGTGGGCTCCTACGATCGATAGAGGGCGATAAGCTCCGAACAGAAACTAAGCGACTCGCTACTTCCCCACTGTTGACTTTGTTGCGGGATAAAGGTATTCGCTTTATTTTTAAACTTGAGGTAAAAAAATATACTTGGATTGGTAATTGTTCCAGAGAGGCACGTATTGTAGCATCATACTGTTACTCAAGTGAAACCTCACCAGACGTCAGAATATCTATTCATCGAATCGAATCGCTCATAGTAAACAAGAGGAAATGGGTCCAGTACAAGGACCAAAGATTGAATGCATCCATTGAGATGACATCTATATTCTAATACAGCCTATGGTTGAGAATGACGGGGTCATCATTAAGGGTTTTGTTTCCGTGGAGGCTGTCGAGCAGGTAAATTCTGATGCACACCCGTACTTGAAGGCAGACAGCCGGGGGAAACCCGTTTTCAGCAGCAGACACGAGACGCTGCTGTAGACATACTGGTCGCAGCCCTACTCACAAGAAATGGCTGTCTAGTTGATCCCGCGATTACCAAATCGCTGAACATGTTTGTTGACAAGAAAAACCTTAAACTGGTACGGAAAGACCAAAGCATGCCTATACCAGCTATGCTATCTCGAATACCTGATTGACCATGCGGATTGGTCCAGGGGGAAAGGCACAGTGATTGCATAAAGATGAAAAAACTGGCACCCTGCTCATATGGATCAGAAGAAGACGGGGGTATCGCATTAGATCGGATGTCTTCTAACTATCGTTCCTCGTTCCGCGAGTTGCCAAGATCGTTGAGAATAGAGATACTCGGTTCTGGCGTTTAGATAAGTGAAGATAGCTTATGAACAAGACATATTTAATGCCATGCTCGCATGCTTTGATTACTCATCGAGCTCCAAAAGTGTCCGAGATGATCATTTATGCATCAACGGAGAAGGGGGGTTCTTTGGCGTTCCTCAGAAGTCTCTACCACGCCGGTGGCGCGAAACTTGATGATTGGTCAGTATCGGTCGGTACATTTGCAGCAAAAGGTATACCTGGCTTTCGCCAGAGAGGAGGTTCTGTCTTGGCCATTCGAAGATGAGGAAGGGCTATACAATGTCGAGTGCCTTGGCCTTGGAGAGCTGTATTCAATCGTACAAGTGGGTAACTGATTAGAGAATATGAAACAGCCTATCCCGGGGCCTTGGATGAAGTCAAGAGCATCGTAAGAAGGCTGCTGGAAGCTTCGGAAGTGCTGTCGAGCGGGTAGCCTTCATTTTTTTAAGGCCTTTGTCAGAGCCATTTGAAAAGAACTTCTGTATGATTTGCAATCCGACAGAATCCCGCAAACGCAGGGCGACTCCATCGTACCAAGCTTCTGAGAATAGTGCGTTTAAAAAAAGGTTAGCTGAAGCTAGTAGTGAAGACGTAGTATTATCAAGGAGAAAGGGATCTAGTGACTTTAGATACCGGGGCTAAAAACACCGGCACGGAACTAGGAAAAAAAAATGTTATCTCGTTCAAATAACCACCCACCACACCTACTTTCGTCCTTCGGGGCACTCGACTTTAGTAAGTTTCTATCGCTTACTTGGGTATGAGTGTGCTTGCTAACTGGTGTCGCCTAACAGCGAAACACCGATTAACCAAACCGAATTAAAATCTTCCGCCAGGGTCGAAATTAATTAAAAAGGATTAAGTCGCCATAAATCGAGCTTAAAATAAACCCTACCCCGAGGGGGTTTTTCTAAGATGTACCCAGAAGGTTGCATCGGAGTTTTTGGTTCTTTTTTTTTTTTTTTTTTTCTTCATATTTTTTTGTTTTTGAAAAGGAGGGCGGGCTTTTAGCTAGCTTAGCTTATTTTGTTTTTATTTTGCCGATCCGGTAAGCGAGAGCGGAGCTAGGTAGGCGTCGGTATGGAGTTATCGAGAGACAGTGGTTGAAAATACTGCAGTTTATGTTTAGGAAATTTGATGCTTACCGAGAAGAAAGGGAACGCCCTTTGTATACATGCATATCTACTTTTTAGTATTTTTTTTATGAAGAGTCATCTCGTTATATGAAGGCGTACTCGCTATAACAAGGACGACAGGCTTGTGCGTGCCCCTTGGCAGAAACATCAGCTCTATATACGCGTGCCAATTCACGCGTATAACTAGCTATCTAACGCTGACGCGACAGCGGCTGACAGTACGGGAATCATGGAGGGTTGGTGGTGGTGCGGGGCGTACGTACACATAGATGGACTGCAAGATTTTGAGTCTCCTCGATAAGTTGTGCAGAGCTCTCTACGACAGCGGGGATGATGAATCCAGAGGAGGCCGAAAAATTATCAATTGGCCCTCAAATTTGAATGCCCGCATACATTCCCGTTCCCTCGAGACGTGGTACGTATCTGCCTTCAACTTATTCTCAATATCACCAACTATGCAAGCACTGATACCGGATTTTGTGGCTGATCCCTCGAAGAGCGACGAAGCGGACGTACGCGCTCGAGTATTTCGTCCGCAGATCCCAACAGACCAATAGAGACTCTGAGTCAGTACATAAAATACCTCAACGCGGCGAGAAAAAAAAACATCGCAGAGATACCACGGTATTTTCTTCGATCGACATTTACCAAGGTCGATACTGCCCTATATTCGCATCCATCTCCATCTACGTATGCATTTCGACTGGAGGAAGCTTGCCGCCAAGATTGGAACACTGGCAGCTTTTGGCCCTCATCTCTTCGTCATCATCTGGGCTGGATCGGATATCACTGGCGGACTGTTGCAGGCATACGATCGGGCTGGATATGAGCCCTCCAATGCCATTTCTACAGCTATAGGAGCTACGTCTTCGGTACTGGGGCTCTCGACATCTGCACATCCAGCAGACGGAATATTTCTTTACAAGTCTTAAAGCGTACCTCCTACCCTGATTCTGGGCGCCAGCGACTTCGTTCTTGGATACGCCGGATGCTTTACTTTACTTGGCGGATAGTAGGGAAGATACAAGCTCCTAAGTTTGGTTCAGATCCTGGGGTACTACCTTCATATGTGTAACTATCTCCGGATACCGGCGCTCTGCGGGCGTGCTGTGCTGAGGTTTACATATGGTAGGTTCTGTTATTTGAACTGAGATCAGAGGCCGGTGACGCGTTATATAGCAAAACTGCCGCCGCTTGTCTGACGTTTGCATATGCTATGTAGTATACACTATACAGCACATATGGTATATTCCCAGATAACATCGGAGTGGTGGCAACTGCTATGCATGGTGATTGAACGTGGTTAATGCTGCTTGAAGCTATCCTAGATTTAGATTACCAATGCTAAACAATTCTACTATGCCGTCTGCACCTATTTGCTTTTATCGTAGACAGGAAGAAAGTCAGTCAAAATTCAGCATCGTGCAGTAATGCGCTGCTCGTTTGTTTTCGTCTGTAACCTTGGTTTCGTCCCATTGCATTAGACGGAAGACGTCGAGAGCTCTACCCCCTAGAGCTAGCCTGCGAAAATAAACCCGTTGGATACCGGGAGGACGTGGTGATTCGTTAGATGCACGACTCGCAGAGCTGTCAAGAACGTCGTATATCGCATAGAATAGCGACGATCTGCCGTTCCCCTTGACCCTTGCGTCCGACGTCTGATCATGCAATATCGGATTAGTGTTATGGATACGGAGCACTGTGCTCCGTATATATCATATATACTAAGCTTTTGTGTAAGTAGCAGAAGCTTTTCCAGGGCTAATTTACTTTTCTGAACCGGCCGCTACTAAACTCTGAATTAAACACTGTACTGACTGTTCCCGCCAACATGGTCCAACTCTGGATCTCGATGCTTCTGCCGCCGCTCATTCACACGTCACTCGTCAAGGCACAATCGTATTCTACCTCGCCCTTCAACGGCAATGCCCTCGCATACTTTCAAAGCCTCGCAAATGGACAGACGATCCTGGCCCCAATCGTGTCCATTCATCCAAATCTCACCCGAGTCCTGCCCTTCGGGTTCTCTTCCAATACTAACCTTACCTTCGTCAACGGCACCACGACTCCAGACGACACGCACAATTCTCTCTTCTCCAAGGCAAAATCGGCCGCCTTGATCTCGTACTCGGACGAGTTTCTAGCCCTCGTAGGCCCGAACCCCCAAGCGACCCTCGTAGAACGTAGGGACTCGCTCTTCGCCTTCGAAGCCGGCGCCTGGATCCCCGAGAAGCGCCAAGTCTGGTTCACCTCGGCCGTGCAGAGCCCGCCCGTCTCGATCTTCAGCTTGGATCTCGATACCAACGCCGTCACGCAAGTGAATTCAACCGGCGACCCGATCATCAGCGCCAGCGGCGGCTATTTCTTCGAAGGCGCCGTCTACTTCGGCACCTCCGGGGACTTCATCGGCAACGCCGGCCAGAGCGGCGGCGTCGTGAAAGTCGACGTCAACACGCTGAGGGCGGAGACTGTGGTCAGCAGCTACTTCGGGCTGAGGGTGAACGTCGACGATGTGGCATGGGTGACGCAGGGTGAGACGGGCAAGAAGTACATGTTCTTCTCGTCCATCGAGTACGTGAAGCACGGGTGCGCCATGGCGTCGTCCGTCTCGCAGTACGATCCGCAGGAGAACTTCTTCCGACCCGTGATCAGCGCGACGGATATCGGCCTGCCGAATGGTGTGCGCGCCAGTCTTGACGGCAAGAGCCTCTACGTGACGGACTTCGCGGGTACGAAAGAGGCGGCGCTGTTGAACCGCGCCGCGGATGGTGTTTCGGCTGTGTACAAGTATGATCTCGACGCGGACATGCTGCCCGTGAACAGGAGGCTGTTCTCCTACACGCGGCAGGGCATCGCGGATGGGATCCATGTGGATGCCTCTGGGCGGGTGTGGACGGCCGAGGGGGAGGGCATCGTGGTGAGGAGTCCGGCTGGGAAGGTGCTCGGGATGTTTAATGTGCAGTTCTTCACGCCGGAGCACGCGGCTGATTTGCCGATTTCGAATTTTGCGCTTGCGGGCGATGAGCTGGTTGTCCTGGGAGGGAACTATCTGTGGAGAGTGAAGCTGGCGCAAGCGGTTGTGTCTGTTATGAATTAGGTATGTTCTTTTTTCTCATTCTCGTTTATATAACTATATTTTCCTATTAATTAGAAGCTCGGATTCTTCAAAACCATACTATATTCATTAGCATTTGCTGATCATGAACTGATGAAAGTGGCAGGAGTCTGGGAGAATAATTAGGCTCTCACATCTTCTCAACAGAAGCGAAATTATCGAAGTAAACAAAGGCACAAAAGGCATGTATGCAGCATGCTCATCATCGCCCACTTCGACTCCCTTCCTCTTCGCATACTCTTCGGCGCCCAGCTCTTTCCCGACGGAGCTCGTGGATAAGACCCCCCGAATACGGCAGGTGGCTCCCAACCATATACGCCCTCATCTCGACAGACTCGCCATCCTATGCGCATCCTCCTCTTTCTCCTGCTCATGACTCGACGCGCCTTCAATCACACCCCCCTCGAGCCTCTAGTCCCGACCCATTGCCTCACCAGGCTTCCACGGCACCAGCAAGCCCTCCCAGATCAAACGACACCTCGACATCGCCCCGAACCCGTCAGGTACAAGTCCGAATCCCAGCGCCCCGACAAACAATCCCCTCCCCCAACCACCGCATTTCCCCGGCGTCGTCGAAATCAGACTCCTCTAGATGTAACAACCGACGCCGAACACCGTCGCGCTCCAAATCCCCATCCGTCCGAAGAGCATGTTTGCTGTTCAGTCAGCACGTCGCCGGATCGGGTGATGATGGCTGGGACGGATATTGTGCCGGCGAGGGTGCAGAGGGAGGAGATAGGAGGAGATGAGGAGGAGATGAGGAAGAGGGAGGTCCGCGGTTTTTTTTTATTTTCTCCTTTTGAAGGTCATGCGGCAGTGCAGAAAGGTTGTTGTCATGACCTGAATGTTATATTACATTCGAAGTGAAAGGGTCAGAGCCAGTGAGCACGACCATGTCGAGATTAATAAGAAATAAAAGGCAATCGGCTGTGCAGATCAGTCGGATTCAGAGGCCTGTTTCGGTAGCGGCGAGGATCTGAACGGCGCAGCTGCGTTATGTGAGTCGCAGGCGGCTATATACGGATGCGTGCTGGATGAGATAGTACCATACCATACCCGAAGGGCCGAAGCCGAATAGAGGAGCAGGCAGACATAGCTGAATTGAAAAATCACTTTGTCAATTCTCACATAAGCAAGCTTCTTTGGTTCCGGATCTAATTCACTTATATCTATAATGGTAAAGCCAACGGAGCGTATTCCTCTCCCCGCACGCGCGCCCGCGCCACGTACCTAATCTACCTGGTTTATCCAGTGAGATGTAAATAGCACCGTTCTACTTACTTGTGCTTGCTAACTACCGAGCGGACCTCCTTCCCTTCCTCTCTCTTTCTAGTCTGGGCAGCATCGCTCGTTTGTTAAGATGAGCGAAGGAATCGGAGATACGATGGGATAGGGTAATATAGGATAGAAGGTGAAAGATTTCCTTGCTTGGTATGAAATAAGTAAATAGGAAAAGGAAGAAGCAAGGAAGGCGATCAAGGTGATGATGCTGTAATCCTGCTAGCCAGCCAGCTAGCCAGCCAGCGACTACCAGCGACAGGGGAGGTGGGTCTAGGAGTGTAGTGAGTCCCAACGGCAGATGAGATGGATAGACAAAGGTGACTTACTCGCTTCGAATTGGTTAACTCCGATCCGTCGCCTGGGAAACGGGGAGGGCTACTATCAATTGGGTTTTGTAAACAATGGCTCGGTTAGCAGGAATAGAGCTCCAGCTGGAAATTAAAGGGGCTTTGAGGAGGTAGCAGATTGGCTTAGAGATGGGATGGGGTATTTTGAGAGTTTGGTTTGGTGACTGAGAGCTGATGCATGGGTCTGGCAGGAGGAAGCTCGTTTACTTGGAGGTATATAGATGTGCGTTCACCATGGTATACTCCACGGGAATGATATATGAAGGGATAGTCACTGCTAGGAAGATATGCTTAGATGGAGAAAGTATGGATTGAGTTATAGTAGCAGCCTTGTTTGCTAAAATGTTTACAAAGCTAGAGCAATATGTTGAGTTTAAGATTATTCTGGCGTAGAGGGCGGATTTCGAAAAAGGGGTTGAAATTCAAGACGCGTAAACAACGCGTGAGACTTTATGGGTCTCTGTCTCTTATTGTCACCTTAGTAAAATAGCTCACGGATAACAATAGCAAGCTAGCTGTGACTTGAATCCTTCACTAGTGTGCGTTTGCAGCTATAATTTTTTGAACCCCTCTTCCTCCTTAAGAGAAAGACTTCTTACTTACAACCATCAGACCTACAACCATCAGACCCACAACCATCTTGGACACAATCATCTTGGGCTTTACGAAACCCTTCAGACTCTTTGCATGATCTACATCGCCCACTATGTGTGACCTCTGCGAAAAGGTCCGGGCTCTAGATAACTCATCTCGTCTGGCCCTAGGACCCGTTAAAGCTGCACTTGCACGCCTTCACAACAGAAGTGGGGCTTTGCTTGGTGATTTCTGGCTAAGCAAGCATGATGGAATCTTTGAGGTCAGACAAGCAGTGCGGGAGTTGCACAGAAAGATGCCAGATGCTGAGCTAGGAGAACTGATGAGAGGGGTTGATGATGTGTTAGCGCAGTGCGCAGAGCAAGTGGCTGCACACAAGGAGAAGACTCAACTAGACAGACTGCATGAACAGTGGCAGACAGATTACGGTGATGCACCTGCTATGGATCGCAACATTTCAAAGGATTCTGTTACGCCTAGCCAGAGCGTGAGTGCAAAGGTTATGGGGTGGGAGAGACAAGTGGCTTCTGCAGAGGTTTGTTTTCATTCCCAGACAGAAAGAACTCTTTCCTGCATGCCACTCTTTGCACATGCGGGAGTTTCAAAACACTGTGTAAAGAAGAAAATGGCTGACTGCAGAATGGGAGATAAAGAGGCAAAATGCACAACAGGAAGCACACGCAGAAAAAGAACTTTCAGATCACAATGTCTCAGAAAAATCATCCCTCATAGATCCACCAGAAGCACGCATCAATTTATCGAGTGGGATTACAAACTTTTGGATGCAAGAGTGCGATGCTGTTGCGCGCCAATACCACAACAACAACATGGAAACTGTATCTGTGGTTTCTGAGCTAGGAGGTGATAGAATTCAACGTCCAAAACTTGATGTCCCAGCCTGGAAAAGACGAAATGTGGCTCAGCTTCTTGGATCACCGTCTCGCGTGGCAAGCAAACGAGATTTCTCTCATTCACACTCTCAAAACCGCCAACTCTACACCCAACAGGCACACGAAGGTTCAATCGACCTTGACCTTGGAGCCGAGATGCCGAACAGAGCATCACCCAGTGGCAGGTACAAGCTGATGGATAGGTTTCTTTCGATCTTGCACCTGAAGAAGAAAAACAAGGAGGGCAGAGAGCGACGAGTTGAGTTCGAAGACGCGCCAGAGCCATCGAGCCACAAGGTTGAGAAGGAGGACGAAGGAAGTGAGGAGAGAAAGCGTGGTTCGGACCACCAACGGCAGAAAGAGAAACGCAAACAGCACTCGATGGATTCTCGCGCCATGGACAAGAATCTGAGAATCGAATATACTGCCCAACATTGCACGGATTCTTCCAGACACAGAGCCAGACGCGAAGTTCCAAAGATCGAGGTCACCGAAGATCGATACACAGAGGCTGAGCGCGAGGAACACGTCCCGAGGCGCAGAGTGAGGCGTGAGAAGGCAAAACCGCAACGGAGAGATACAGATATCAAGGAGAAAAGACGTGAGCTACCACCAATAATCCACCAAGCTAGGCCAGAACCACAGGGCAGAGATACAGATATCGAGGAGAAGAGGCGTGGTGTACCACCAGCAATCCGCCAAGCTGAGACCAGCAAGACTCGATCGAGGCCTAGCACCGCCGGCAACGCACGCCTCACGTCGAAGAACCTGAGACAGTACGACGATGAGGGCAATCAGCAACACGGTTCCAAGACCACCGAATCACTCTGGGGTAGCCGGCAATCAGCGATCAACTTCGGAAGTATCATCAACCGACATGATTCACCTGATTTTGATAATCCACCGACCCGACCCCCAGCGCGCTCTCAGCACGTCCAATCTACACCAATTGGCCCTCCACACAGACTCTCATTGCCAACGGATAGCCAAGCTCGATCTCGATATCAAATCTCAAGCGACACCCACCCATCCGAGATGACAGAAACCTCCATAGCACTTTCGCGTCGCCATGCCACTAGGCCTGCATCGATCCCTACCGCTGATCCTCAAATTCCAAGACGAGCATCAGTGAGAGCTCCAGACTATACCAACATTCGTGAGAGACGCCGAGCCAAGCGAAGCGAGGTAGTACAAGCTCCTCCACCAGAGATGGATTTGCCTATTGCCAGACAGCGTGCGGACCACCAGCGTGCTGTTTCAGATGGTACCCGGGAGCAGAGAGCACGTCGTGGTGAGTGAGAGTCGATGGCTCCGATGATGGAGAATTATTCATCAGGATGAGAGAGAGCGCGTAGATGCTGGCTGAGGGTTGATCGTGCGTGTATTGTGTATATTACAATGGAGTTCGGGGCTGGAATTTCCAATTGGGGACTGGGATAGGTTGTGAGGGAGGCAACCTCAAGAGGATACGTGTCCTAGGATAGGAAGATGTGCATGAGGACCTTCAAAGTATTCAACTAAGCGCTGTCAATACAATGAAAGCAATGAATCCAGAATTAAAAATCTTTGTACCGTTTGAAGCTGTGCTGTGTTCTTATGATAATACATGCTCGGATAAGACAAGGATATAATTACTTGTAAGTGGCTGTATATCAGCGCGGTGAATCACAGTCTTGCGAAGTTTACAGATTGTAGCTCTAGTAAAGTTGATGGACACATGGATTCAATGTTGTTATACCTGTCGCTTATCGTCGCCGGGGAAAAGTCGGCAGATATTGTCTTGGCGGGGCAGCTCGCGCGTGTTTCGCGACCCGAGACGCGGTCTAAAGTGTTTTTTGAGTCTTCCGCCGCTTTCGGTACTCGACCCTTCAACCCTCAACCATACAACCTGGATACTTGTGCTTTTACTATACCGTGCCATAGACTGCCCAAACCACCAGAATGGGTAAACCAAAGGTAGCATCCGCTACTCCAGCTCCCACAGCCAGAGCAACGCCCTCCTCCCAAAAGTCCAGCACTGCACCCCCTTCCGGCCAACGATCGATCAATAGCTTCTTTGCGAAGAAGGCTCCGAATTCCACACCCACCCCTCTAGCTTCTACCGCTGTGTTGAAGGACAATGAAACTTCCAATGCCGTCAATGCCATGGCCAAACCGAGTCTTCCGCCAAAGAAACCCGCCTTTCGGAACACTGCTGTCAAGAGCATAACGCCGGTGCCCAGTAGTGATGCTCCGGGCCCATCGAGCTCGCAGGAGAATGAGAACGGCGGGATTCCAGCAGAGGTAGAGGTCCATGGACTGCCATCGCCTTCGACGTCTGCTAAGACAGTGCAGCAGGTCGCCAAGAGAGATGCTCTGGCTCTGGGCAGTAGTCCTTCTCGGAAGGTAAATTTAAATATTCCCCGAAGTTCTGGCACACTGCTAATTCGAGTCTTCCCAGGCGAAGAAGGTTGTCAGCTACGCCGAATCGGACGACGACGACGACGAAGATGATGAGGACGCTTTCGACCCAGCCGTACTATGTACAAAGAGGAAGAGGAAATCAATGCCAAAGGTAGAGGAAGAGGAGGACGATGACTATGATGCGTTCATTGGAGGTCTTGACGGTGCTATCGAGGATGATGGTACGAACCTTAACCATGCCAATATATAATTTCTAACTCAATATAGAAGAGATGGACGATTTCGTGGTAGACGACGATTCAGATGCACCCGTTAAGCCATCCAAGAAGAGAAAACGCCCTGCTTCCACTCAAGTCTCTCGAAAGCGTTCAAACATATCACCTCCAGCAGCGTTCGACAAGGAGGAGGAGGAGGACGAAGACATGGAGATCCCACAGACTTCAACAGCTAGAAAATGGGAATATGATCCCGAAAACACCCAATTATTAAATGAGAAGCCAGCCAGCACTCTCAAGACTCCGCTATCGAACAAGAAGAAGACCAAGGATAAGGCATGCAAGAGTGAGCCAGAGCACCGTTACCCGTGGTTAGCCAATCTACAGGACATGGATCGGAACCCAATTGGACATCCAGACTATGACCCCAGAACTGTTTATATTCCTCCAGGGGCATGGGCAAAGTTCTCGCCATTCGAGACGCAATACTGGGAGATCAAACAGAAATTCTGGGACACGGTTGTTTTCTTCAAGAAGGGAAAGTTCTACGAGCTATACGAGAATGATGCTACCATTGGTCACCAGCTATTTGATCTCAAGCTCACCGACAGAGTCAATATGCGAATGGTCGGCGTTCCAGAAATGTCCTTGGATCACTGGGCAAATCAATTTGTGGCGAAGGGGTACAAGATTGCTCGCGTTGACCAGTGCGAATCTGCTCTTGGCAAAGAGATGCGTGAAGCAGAGGGAAAGAGTACTGGGAAGAAAGTGGTCGTTAACAAGGCTGACAAGATCATTCGTCGGGAGCTGGCGTGTGTTCTTACAGGAGGGACCTTAGTTGAGGGTAGTATGCTTCAAGACGACATGGCGACATTTTGCGTGGCGATCAAGGAACAAATGATTGATGACTTACCGTCCTATGGAGTTGCTTTTGTCGACACCGCAACTGGCCAATTCTTCCTTTCTGAGTTCGTGGACGACGTTGATCTCACCAAATTCGAGACTTTGATTGCCCAAATTCGACCACAGGAGCTATTATTGGAGAAGTCTCATCTCTCTACCAAGGCACTTCGGATCTTGAAAAACAACACCACTCCGACGACAATCTGGAATCACCTGAAGCCAAGTAGTGAATTCTGGACTGCTGAAGTCACCAGACGTGAGCTGGGTTGTAATGGATACTTTGTCTCGGAAGAGGGGGGTAGTGAAATCTGGCCAGAAGCTCTTGAGGCGGCTAAAAGTAGTGACGCCTTGATGTCTGCTATGGGAGCTCTAGTTCAATATCTGAGGACACTCAAGCTGGAACGGAATCTCTTGAGCCAACAGAACTTCACCGCCTACAGTCCAATCCAAAAAGGAACCACCCTGGTGCTGGACGGACAGACCCTCATCAATTTGGAGGTCTTTGCCAACACTTTCGATGGAAGTAAAGCCGGTACTCTCTTCGCTCTTCTCAATCGCTGCGTCACTCCGTTTGGCAAACGCATGTTCAGACAGTGGGTGTGCCATCCGCTGGCCGATGCCGACAGAATAAACGAACGTTTAGATGCCGTGGACATGCTCAACAAGGACCGGACTCTCAGTGATCAATTCGTTGCGTCAATGTCAAGCATGCCAGATTTGGAGAGACTGATATCTAGAATCCATGCCGGATCTTGTAGACCGGATGACTTTGTCAAGGTTATCGATGGCTTTGAGCAAATCGAATACACAATGGAGCTATTGGAAAGATCTGCAAAAGGAGGCAAGGGAATTGTGGACCGTCTCATCAATGCCATGCCCGACCTCACGGGGCCAATAAAATTCTGGAAGACGGCGTTCGATCATCAGAAGGCCAAAGAATCGAGAATCCTGGTGCCTGAACGAGGAGTGGAGGAAGAATTCGATGAAAGTCAAGACCGTATCGAAGAGATTGAGGGAGAGTTGGAAGATCTTTTAAAGCGTAAGCGGAAGGAGCTCGGTGGGAGCCAAAAGATAAACTTCAAGAACATTGGAAAGGAAGTCTACCAGCTCGAAGTCCCTGCTTCTATCAAGGTCCCCAAGGACTGGCAAATGATGTCTTCTGCGGCGGCATTTAAGCGGTATTACTTCCCAGAGTTGAAGACCCTCATTCGCCAACTGCAAGAGGCACAGGAGACCCACGGCCAGATTGTGAAAGTGGTCGCTCGAAAACTGTATGCACGTTTTGACGAGGACTACAGTCTCTGGCTGCCAGCTGTCAGAACTGTTTCCCATCTTGACTGTCTTATTAGTCTGGCCGCCGCATCAGCAGCTCTTGGTGAGCCAAGCTGTAGACCAACCTTTGTCGAGTCCGAACGAAGCGTGATCGAGTTCGAGGAGCTTCGTCATCCTTGTATGCTGCCCAATGTCACGGACTTCATCCCCAACGATGTGAAGCTCGGTGGAGATGCGGCGAACATCAATCTGTTGACTGGGGCCAACGCGGCTGGAAAGTCAACAATTTTGCGAATGGTAAGCCATCTCTTTGAAAGATGTAGCTCCGTGCTGACGATCTTCAGACTTGCGTCGCAGTAATCATGGCCCAAATCGGCTGTTACGTCCCGTGCATCTCAGCAACTCTCACCCCCGTCGATCGCATCATGTCCCGCCTCGGCGCCAACGACAACATATTCGCAGCTCAATCCACCTTTTTCGTCGAGCTCTCCGAAACCAAGAAGATCCTTGCCGAAGCCACCCCCCGCTCTCTCGTCATCCTCGACGAGCTCGGCCGCGGCACATCTTCCTACGACGGCGTAGCCGTGGCGCAATCCGTGCTCCATCATGTCGCGACGCACGTCGGCTGCACCGGCTTCTTCGCCACGCATTACCATTCCCTGGCCACCGAATTCGCTGGACACCCAGAAATCGCACCGAAGCGTATGCAGATCCACGTCGACGAGGGTAACCGCCGCGTCACGTTCCTGTATAGACTTGAGGACGGGGTTGCAGAAGGCAGTTTTGGGATGCATTGCGCGGCCATGTGCGGGATTCCTGCAAAGGTGATTGATCGGGCCGAGGTGGCGGCTAAGGAATGGGAGCATACGAGCCGGCTGAAGGATAGTCTAGAGAAAGCGAAGAGCGGTTGTTATATCCCGCTGGGCGTGCAGAGTGATGTCAGCTGGATCTTGAGGCAGGCAGTGGGCGAGGATGTGGAAGATGGGGTTGGTGAGAGGGGTTTGGAGGTGCTCATGAAGGCTATCGCTGGGCTGTAGGCATACTTCGAGAGGGGACTGTATGTATATGTGGGTCTTGGAGGGAGGTTATGTGTGAGGGGCTGTCTTTGCTGTTCCTATGAGCTGGGCTGGGCTGGGATTTTAGTGGCTATCTCCATGTATGTGTTGTGTGTATCAGCATCGGCGTTGCATGACATGGCCGGGACTATCTCCTGGAAAAAGAAGAGACTTGTAACTATAACCGCTCCCGTAATAGAAAAGAGAGCGAATCAAAGGTCGGTCGGTCGGTCGGTAACTTTGATCGGCTTACGCGAAGGAAGCATTGAAAGAAAAGCAAAAACATATTATAAAGCCAGATGCTTGCTTGCTTGCTTCACAGGTTCGATTTTCATTATAATAATATATTTCAATGCCTTACTTTTTGCGACCTCCTATCTGCCCTGCAACTGGTCTTTCCTGTCTTCGCTCTTTTAAAAAGGAAAGGAAAAGAGCGTAAAGGCATTTATTACTTATCAAGTTTCATTTTTATATTTCATTTTTATATTTCATTTTTATATTTCATTTTTTTTAACTAGCAATTTCTCGCGAATCTAGCATAGGCATGCATATATATTCTTATCAGACGTATTCTAGCTCATCATCTCGTCTCACTGTCCTCTATCTATCTACCCTTGCATCCGTAAACCAGTGTACCCAATCTTCGTGTCCTGTCCGTTTCTAGCCCTAGGTTTCTTGCTTGTTGGTTATAGATTGATGGTCTAAGCAGGATTGATGTAGATCTTGACCTCAACCTCGTTGCTCCAGCCAGCCTGCAACTCCAATTCCTTCCACGCTGTCTCCACGTCGATATCCAGCACGTGTTCGTCTGTCTTGCTGGTCGTAACCGTGTGCAGCGGCAACACCTTCCCTTGCATCGTGATGATCATGTTATCTTTATAGCCTAGGCTAGGCAGCGTCGAGACGTAGATTCCTATGTCTGGTTAGCATCATGATAGGATTGGGATTGAAATAGATAAGGGCTACCAAGAACACCCAAAGCTTTCAGATTAGTGTCAATTGTGATCCGTCCATTCTCCAACTTTGTAATCTTGTTGCCCACGACAGCCGCCGCGCCGGTCATCTTACCCAGCAGGCCTAAATTAGCAACCCACGTCGTCTCGATCTTCTTATCGTCGAAGAAGCCGCGGAGAGGGTAGGCGGACATGATCTCGTAACCGCGAACGCCGAGGGAAAGGGTTAGCAGACTATTGGTGTCGACAACTTGCATGGGCTTAGATACGAGGCCGCTCGAGTGCGCGCGCACGACGTAGTATTGGGCTTCGACTACGCCGGGGAATTTGGAAAGAGGGATCAGTTCGGTGAGGGGGCGTTGAGAGACGTTGAAGAAGCCGATTATGCCAGTTCCGGTCACTGCAGCACCTGTGTTGTGTGAGAAACGAAACCAGGAAGAATGATGGATGGGTTTACCGTGGTATGTACCGACTAGAAGTAAGTGGTCATCATCGTAGCCGATGTATTGATCCAAGGTCTTGCCAATAACACTTGGTCTGAAGATGACGGTCTTACCACGAGGAGTAGGGCCAGTCATCTGGTTGATGAGGTCAAGATCATGCTGGCCTGGAATATCAGTGATGTATATTGGGCCCCCACTGACGCATCGAGCAGCAGCATGGAACCCAGAGTATTCATGAACAGTCTGGAACATATCCCAATCAGGGATCAGGTTTAAGTGCTGGGTGAAAAGAGCATTATGAGCATTGACAAAAATATGCCATGGATGACTAGTCGGGACCTCAGGGAAGAAGTCATCTGAATTCCGGACGAGAATAGGAGGCTTGTTCATTGGCATTTGAGAGTGGAAAAGAATCGCTGGTGTTTGAGACATGCAGGAAATGGCCTTCACGCTGAAATGTCGAAGGGTGGAGATGTTCCAAGCATCCAGAAAAGCTGGTATGAGATCATGACGATGTTTTGCCGAAACAAATGTGTCGAGCATGAATTGGGCACTGAAAAAGTCAAAATGTGAATGAAGCCTGGGTAAATAGCTCCGCCCCGGAATACGTACTCAGTCTTGACTGCATCTACCCCGCAGGACGACAGGAATCTGTAAAAGTCATCGTAGAATCTAGCAACATCTTCTTTTGCTACCACTGTCATCTCTCCGCCTAGAAAGACGTTAGTCGGACAGTGGGACAGTTAAATCTAAGAGCAGTTCATACCTAGAGGCAAATTTCTTCTTTCCGCGTCCTCTCTTACCACCTTGACAGTTTTGTATGTCTTGGCAATCTTCCCATCGGGTGAAATACCACCCCAGTACCCCAGGATGGCATGCCAAACAGCAACATGTTGTATGCTAGGCTGCTTCTCTCGGATGAGATTGACCATGTGCTTCAGACCATTAGGAAACGCTTCTCTCTCTGCTTCAAACTCTACCCAACCATGTTGGAATTGGCCGTGTCCAAGGTAGTCAATCGATTGCCAATTGTCATCAATGATAAAGTTGGTCACATTGATGTTGTTCTCTGCAAGGGTCGTGACGGCCTTCAAGACCTTTTCTTCAGTGAGACGTTGGCCGAGAGCGTTCCAAGTGCAGTACGTCAAGCCATCATACCAATTCTCGGACCAGAACTTAATCTTTTCGTCGTCCTCTTTCGAAATCAAAGCTTCTGTCTCCCTCTGCACCTCTCCACTCGCGGCTTGCGAGGTTGACACAATACCTCGTGCATGGTACATAACGGCTGCATTAGCAGATTCAAAATTGTCACCAAGAGCAACAAGAACATGAGAATTCTTGGTTTCTGCACTATCGTTTCGGACCTGCAATTATTTAGTAGAATTCAAAGCAAGCCACTGGTCAGGAAGGCTACTTACATGCAGGACAACGTTTCCATCGCCATCACTTGTAAACATGGTCATGACATCCGCAGCATTCGTGAGTGCCAGCAAAACCAAATGCTTTCCGGTTAGGCTGAGAAATGAGCACATAACTGCTTCCTTGTCCAATTCGAAATGGTCCTTTCCTTGTCGGGGTACGAGCCATGGAGACCAGAGTCGTATGAGAGCGAACCATCTTCAGAGTATTAGCTGAGTTGAAAGCTTCACGGGCTCTAAAGAACAAGAAATGTTTGGCTTCGAGTTCTCGCTTTCAATGCACAGTGCGATGTCATGAAAGTACAGAGATATACCTTGAAAATTTGCCTTCTCCCCAGGGCAAGCCAAACTTGATGTCCTTGAAAGCGGACTTTTCTCCAGTTGCGCCCTCAACTGGAACTTCAACAGTCCATAGCGTGGTACCAGGTGACTGACTTCGGTAATTCTTCGAGTTCAATATCGGATTAAGTCCCGAGACGTAATTTCTCAGTTCGCTTGAAATGGTTTCCTGACTGGTCACCGTGCTCATCATGGCAGCCCCATCAGTCATGCCCTGATGATCCTTGATCCATATCCACGACTCATTCGGGCCAGCGCGAAATTTGATAGTGAAGCTAGTGGGGAGGCGGATTTCGAGAGGGGTACTAAAGTAGAGCTTGGCCAGGCCAACTCCGTTAGTTGCTTTGACAGCTTGTAGCTCAGTAGGACGTGCAGTTTCCTTGACGACTGGGTCCATAGGCACTTCCCGCCAATCCTTCCCCTCTGAGTGCCAGAGCGAGACCTGCCACGGATCCGAAGCTCGAGCCTGGTCAACCTCGAGCAATGCCATAAACACAGTTGTATGCTTCTCGATTTGCGTTACCTGACCCAGAGCTGGGTAGGTCGAGATAGATGCCAACATACTGGGATCATCCGTAGCCGGAGTAGCCTTTTGTCTGGGGATGTATAGTGCCTGAAAAATCTCGTTGCCGTCCGCAGCACTAATGAATGTTGTCATTGTGAGTGCTGGCTATCTATTATGTACGTACTATTATGTACGTACTAGCTTGTAGCTGAAAGCTGTGAAGAGAGTAAAGAAGATCACAGCTACCAAAATAAGGTAAAGACAAGGATTTGCACATTCGGGAGAACAGAAAAGAGGAAGGGAGGTAGGAAAGGTCAGGTGGAGTACAGATTAGATGCTGCAAATGCAATGCCAAGTGCAGATGCAGTAACGGAAGCCGAGAATATTGGAGAGGGGCAATTACAGAATGCACCACCGGCGTCTATTTCACGTGACTACTATATCTCATGTTTGCCGCGCGCGAGGCGCGTATAATTTTTATACTGAAGTATGCTGATTGCGGTTGTCAACCCCCATTCTGCCTGGCCCACACCAAGTGCTTTCATTCTCCTGGTTGTATGATCTCTCACTGGTACCCATGATAGCCAAGGCGGCTTCAGAATTTCCGCTGCGTATGGTTTGATAGACAGACAATTGCCATAATGGCATCTCGCTCCTTAATTCGAAGCTCTACCAGACCGAACCCCAACGTTTGCGCCAGATGTGCCTTTCGAGCCTCGAAATCACTTGCTCCGACTTCGAAGAGATGGATCGGTACTAAGTACCTTGCAAAGGTAGCAAATGCAGAGCTGGAATGGGAGGAGAAAGCTAAGAAGATCAGGGCGGGCGAGGAGAAGAGCATGCTCTCAATCCTCGAGGAGCGAGGTCTGGTCCAAAAAGTCACTGGGTAATGAATCCAACTCCAGACTGGACTCCCTGCTCTAACACGATGTGCATAGTGATCGCAAAACACTGGATAAATACATGACGGACAGACGGCTCGGTGCATATGTCGGAATCGATCCTACAGCCGCCTCGTTGCACGTTGGTCATCTGCTGCCACTGATGTCTCTATTCTGGATGCATCTTAACGGTTACCATACCCTATCGCTTCTTGGGGGAGCCACGGCGAAGATTGGCGACCCGACGGATCGATTGACGACCAGAGTAAAAGACCCAGCTTCAATACGAACCGCCAACATGGCTAGGATGCACTATCAACTGAAAAGGTTGTGGATGAATGTAATTGTGCAAGGGAAAAAATACGGCTATGAGCCGGATTGGGCATGGCGTCGGGAGTTGATAAATAATAATGCGTGGTGGAACAAGATGCCTATGTTGGAGGTTTTGCAAGTCTTGGGCCCTGGGATGCGAATGGGCACCATGTTGGCTCGAGAGACGTGAGTTTCAGGGCGGTTCCATTCTTGAGCAGTTGCTAATGGCTTCCAGTGTCAAGAATAAAATGACTAAAGGCGATGGGATGTCGTATGCCGAGTTCACATACCCAATCATGCAGGCGTGGGACTGGTGGTATATGTTTCATACTAAAGGCATCCACATGCAAATAGGCGGCTCTGATCAATACGGAAACATCGTTGCTGGAATAGACGCTATCAAGTACATTTCAACACACCATTCAGATCCTGTTGTCAGAAAAGAAGCCCAAAATGTGGGGGAGCCAATGGGTTTCACCGTTCCTCTTCTGACTACATCGTCAGGACAGAAATTTGGCAAAAGTGCCGGCAACGCTGTCTGGCTAGACCCCGATGAAACGAGCTCAATTGAGCTGTATAGCTTTTTTCTGCGAACCTCAGATGCAGATGTAGGCAGATATCTCAAGCTGTTTACTTTCATGCCTTTGATTGAAATAGATGCTCTGCTCGAAAAGCATCAGGCAGATCCATCACGAAGATTAGCGCAGCACAAGCTTGCGCAAGAGTTCGTTGAGCTCGTTCATGGACGCGATGGAGCAGTGGAAGCCATGAACCAGCATCGGCTTCTTTTTCAGAAATCTTCATCGGCGGAAGGTCTCGTTGAAATTGGGCCCGATACGAACGAGGGAAGTAAAAATATGTCATCAGAAGAGAGACCTAAGGTCAACATTCAGCTGCCCCAGAGCTTGATCTATCGAAAAGACATCGGGTCTATTCTCTACGCTACAGGCCTTGCCGAAACCCGGTCTGAGGGCTTTCGTCTAGTGCAAAGTGCAGGAGCATACATCGGTGGCCCGGGAACTCAGAAGAAGCAGCCTATGATTGATGGCCATGTATCCTGGACAACCATCTCTAACTGGCTGCCGGAGGAAACAAGAAAATTCTTGATACACGGCGACCTGCTTCTCTTCCGCAGGGCAAAGCACCACATCAAGACTGTGCAGGTGATCTCGGATGAGGAGTATGTTTCCTCTGGCCAAAAATACCCTGGGATGCAGAACTCATGGAAGCGCGATGTATTGAGCGCCCTGGCCGTGAAGAATTCGATTACGCTAGCTGAGAGGGAGAATATTGAAAAGATGCTCAAGGAAGCAGAAGAGGCCGCAGAAATGGAGTCAAAGCTAGAGCCCACGGAAGCTACACCGTCAAAGAAGAAGAAAAGGGAGGCAGAGGTAGCAGAGCGAAAGAGGAGCAGATCGGACGAACCGTGATGACCCCTCTCACAGGCCTAGTCAGGAGGGTGTTTAGTTGACCGAGCCTTTGACGGATGAGGTCTCGGCTCGAGTATGTAAAAGTTCTGTGTATCATGTTTCATAGCTTGACTGAACTAAAATACCCAATGTACTTATATCTACTCCAACCCATTTCATGCCCTGTCCTCACTCGACTAGCACCGGCTTAATCAGCCAGCTATCCTTACTTACGGAATATGAACGCTGTCCCATATTCTCAGCCTCAAATACGCAGCTACCAGCCAGAACCTTCCGCTTGCGGCAAAACTTCCTACGGTTATTGACATTCGGATTTTAGATTAGAGTCGCGCTCCGTCAATGATCCCTGGACTCTATCGCGCAGTTCAAAACGCGTTACGCCGGCAATATCAGGGTCGATAACAATGAAGCGGAAGTGCATTGAGGTTGATCTTACCGGGTTCTTTCGCATCGCTTCCGAATTCTCTTTTTTAACTCAAGGTCGCGGATCTCTAATGACCCAGTGTTCAAGAGTGAAACTCTCAGTTGTCGTAATATAAGCTGGAGAAGAACTCGGCGGCTTGTATTGATAAGTTTGTGTATGAAGAGGTTGGTATTCATCCAAAGATGCGGTAATTTTGAGAGAGAGCGAGAGCAAACAATCGAAGAGGAAACTCGCTTAGTAATCGCTCGCCAGCGTTGGATCTCTCTCTTGGCAAGAACATGAAAACCTCACGCTATTCGCGAACGCTATTCTCTCCACTTCCTCAACTCCAGCCTCCCATCAAGTCAGCAAATTGAAGAGGACAGTACTATCCAAACTGTAACTAAATAGGGGTACTGGGTCATGGAAAACAAATCCCGTGCCTGATTATTCTACCAATCCTGCTGAAGCCTTTCGTTGAAAAGGGCGGCTCTTATGTCGAGTCGCAGATCGATCACGTGTCGTCATATCGCGGCCCCTATTATTTTCCCCAGAGGCCAGAGCCCATCATGCTGCTGCTGGTCCAGAATCCTGCTTCACGGAGATCGCTCCTCGGAATTCCGCGTGCTAGAGTGATTCCCTATCCTCTGTTCAGCAAGACTCGTCTTCGAGTCTGCTGCCGTCTGAGTAGCACGTCAACAACCCCCGCACCGAAAGTGCCAATCGGCAAGAGTGAGTTACCCTTTTGATATATATATACACATAGGAAGGAATACGGGCTGATGGAAACGATTAGAATTCCCGGAAAGGTTGCTCATCTACCATGCCGGTACTCCCCGAACGGTGTTTCTCGGCTGCACGAAGGTCACCACGATCTTCCTCTGCATCTTCTTCTGCACCGTGATGGCGCCCACGCACTTCCACGGCGAGGAATCAAACTGGGTCGCAGCTGGCGGTAAGCGGGAGCTCTTCGAATCCAACCCCTCTCGGTAACCACCCATGAGGGAAATCGGGAAACAGTTGGCTGACGCCGGGTACGCAGTCATGCTTTCGGGACTCGTCCCGGTCTCCTACGTCGCCTACACGTCCGCGCCCTTCGTGACGTACATCCACCTCCGGCTCCCGGCCTTCGCGCGCCAGTCGCAGCAGATGCTCCTCCGCTACTCCAAGAGCCTACCGAAGAACGCGGAGATCGACATCACGACTATGAACTTCGTGGGCAAGCCACGCGTCGCGCGCGTCAAGCTTGCAGACCTCTATCCGGTCCGGCGGCGCTGGGGGTTTGCGAACTATGCGCGCGACACGCAGGCGATTGATGCGCGCCGGCCTTGGTATCTGGGGAAGGCGGTGGCCCTGTTCGGGGTGCACAATGAGAAGAGCGGGGTCATGGACGGGCAGGTCTGGGACCATGTTGCCGCGGCTATTGCGAAGAACAAGAGGAATTGAATGGTTCATGACCGAGGCCGAAGATCAGGCCCCCGAGGGAGATGCGGATATCTGCCTGCGTCCATTTGTATTCTTTGTATTTTTATAAATGGGATGAGATGAGATGAAGTGGAGGGCGAAGAAGGCGAAGACATGGTGGGGAGAGGCAGTAGACGTGGATGAAATGGAGCAGGAGGCAAATATATATATCATATAGGCAGAGTTTCTCTCCCTTCCTCCCTCCCTACCTCCCTCCCTCCAACTTGGATCTTTACCCCCCTTTTCTTTCATTCTCATTATCCATCCATTTTTTCTAATTCTGAAAGGGGATGAGAATGAGAATGAGAATGAGAATGAGGATAAGAATGAGAATGAGAATGAGAAGGAGAATGAGAAATTTCAAAAGAGATGGAGAGAGGAGAGGAATAGAGGAGTAAGGCTTTTGTAGATGTATGTACATGGGAGAGCAAACAAATTTATAGTTCGTATGTATGTATGTATGTATGTATGTATGTATGTATGTATATCAGCTGTTTTTAGAAAAAGAGGGAATACAATCGCAGAAATGGTCAAAAACAAAATCTAGATAGGTAGATGAAAGAGTCGGATCACACACACACACATGCTCTATAATACCCGTCTCATACCAACGCCAATATAACATTATTCCGAGCCACCTAATCATACACTTAATTTCTAGTAACCATCTATCCATCGACTCAATTAACCTTCTTCAAGCCCCGCGAGAACTGCAGCCCGTCAGTCACGCTGCCATACCCGGCCGTCCAGTAATCCGTCAGGTAGTTCTTCCTCGGCTTCCAGGGCCCGACGTCACCCACCTTGGGCAGCTCCCCCTTCGCCTTCTCGATGTAGGTCGAGTTCAGGTTCAGCATCGGGCGCGCGGTGATCTTCGCCTCCCTGCCGATTCGCGGCACCGCGCTCGTCTCCTTGCTGGCATCCATGTGCTTCAGCAGGCGGCACACGAGGACGGCGGTGGCGTCGGCGCCCAGCGTCCAGGACGCGTTGGTGTAGCCGATGACGACGGCTGCGTTGGGGATGTCCTGGATCATGACGCCCTTCCAGACGAACTTGTCGGCGAATTTGACGGGCGCGCCGTCGACGGTCACGCGGGAGCCGCCGGCGAGTTGCATCTTGAGGCCCGTGGCGGTGATGATCACGTCTGCGTCCAGGATCTTCCCGGATTCCGTCTCGATAGCATTAGCAGTGACGGTCTTGATGGTGTCGGTCACGATGTCGCAGTTGCCTCCGTGCAGCGCCTTGAAGAAGTCGCCGTCGGGGCAGATGCAGAGACGTTGCTCCCACGGGTTGTAGGATGGCTTGAAGTTCGGGTCGTGTTTGATGGCAGAGCCCTTCAGTTGTCTCTGGGTGTTGGCGCGGATGATCTTGCGTCCGGCGTTGGGATAGGAGCGGCAGAATTGGAAGAAGAGGAAAGGGAGGATGAGGAACTTCCACCGCACGAGGGTGTGGCTGAGCCAGGTTGGGAACCACCTGCGCACAAAATCGCCTGTAGGGTCGACTTTGGGCAGGGCCATGACATATGAAGGGCTGCGCTGCAGCATAGTGACTTTGGCAGCTTTGTCGGCCAGGTTGGGGAGCAGGGTGATGGCAGTTGCACCGGAGCCAATGATGATGATCTTCTTGCCGGTGTAGTCGTAGTCTTCGGGCCAGAATTGCGGGTGGATCATCTTTCCTTTAAAGTCGTCGATGCCTGGGATGCTGGCTTTGAGCGGTGTGTTATAGTCGTAGTAGCCGGTGCTGAAGATGATGAAACGGGCTGAGAACTGCGTCTTCTCGCCATCGGCATCAACATCCAACGTCCATCTTTGGGTGCTGGAGGACCAATCCGAAGAGAGAAGCTTGTGGTGAAAGCGGATCTTCTTGTCGATTCCGTTGATCTCTGCAGATTCGCGGATATACTTGCAAATAGAGGGACCGTCGGCAATGGAGTTGGGTTTCGACCACGGCCTCCACACGAATCCAAACGTGTGGAGGTCTGAGTCTGATCGGATACCTGGGTAGCGGAAGAGATCCCATGTTCCTCCGATGGCATCGCGAGCTTCCAGAATGGTGTATTTATATCCTGGGAGCTCGTTCTGGATACGGTATGCGGCGTTGATGCCGGAAATACCGGCGCCGATAATGATCACATCAAGGTCGACATTGGTATCTCTTGCGATAGAGCCCATTGTGTTGTTTGAGAAACTAGAAAAGTTGGTAAAGGGAGAGCTGAGGCGAGACGAGGGCCGGTGGCGTCGAGGCGAATGTCTTTGAATTACAATGAGTCATGAGTTTTTTTTGTTTTGTTTTGTTTTTGTTTTTTCTTACAAGCAGCCCACGATCCAGCAGGAGAGGCTTGCTCATGAAGATGGAAATGAAGATGAAAAATAAAAACGGGCTATGTGCGGACGCCCCAGGTTTTATCCATTGTAGCTATCGAAACATCCGATGTGCAGTCGCAAGCCCAATATGGTGTTTTGGTATGGTCCCAGAAGAAGTCATGACAATGTACCGAGGCACGAGGTCGCGACGTTGTCTTAATCTCAGCGGCTGACCTGTCGGTATGGAAGAACAAGTCTCCGAGCTGTTGCGATCGTATCATAAAGAACAGACGAAAGCCACATGCGTGTTTTGATTCGGTTGGATTGTTTTGCAGAAGAGCCTAGCCGAGTATGTGTTTATGCATATCCTTATTGGAAATGGACTAACCCGACCGGGAAAGAAGTCATCACCCCCACTTGCCAGGAGGAGCATCCGCGTGACCATGTCACATGACCTGTCATCTCCCCACGACCCTCGCTTCGGAACTGCAAGTCAGTCATCCTACCTCATATCCATCGTCAGGATTTATCCAAAATCAAAATCAAAGTCAAAATATTCGACGCCAGTTCCACCTTGTATTCTACCTTAAAAAAGTTTCTTATCAAGCGATCCTATGCCAGCAGAATTCCTTTCTCCTGAGGATTTCAGGGAAGTGGATGATCAACTGCGCTGGTGCGAGCTGTACATCCATCCCAATTCTCTCGGGACCAAGTGAGTGCGAAGGAGCATGTCAGAGCGACTGCGATCTCGATTATAGTAAAGTTATGGTCTCTCACTTATTCCCACTACATGTTTAGAACGGCGATCACTAACTCGTCTAGCTTACAATGCCACCAAACCGACATCTGCAGCATGGCCGCTTCTGAGTCTACGACGATACTATGATATAAATATCATGTGATCTGAAACTGGCACAGTCTTAACGAAACAACAGACGAAGTTCAAATAATTATCCAGGAAAGGCAAAAATTACGCTTTCTTAACCTGTATCAGCTGGACCACGGGGGGTTACCATTCTTTGCCTATACGAGATGCCCCTTACGAACCTTCAGCTCTTTTTCTTGCGGCAAAGAGAGTCTGGAGAGCCGACATTGAATCAAGGTAGCCTTTTGAAAAGATTTCTTTTTATCGGCTATTCGAACGAGTCTCTTCTTATCTCGACGACCACGCCGATTACGATCTATACTTAACGGGCATACCGATTGAAGGTACTAAGAGGATTTGCGATAAAAAAGGAACGGGGTAAAGAGAGATAAAAAGAGCTTTAAAACGATCTACGATATTACGCCTTCGAATAAGCCATTTAGCTGATTCCGATCCGGCCACGGATTATCTTGATAATCGATATTAATATACGTTTCATACGCTATAACTTGGTTTTGAGTTTTTTCCTTTGACGAAAATTTATATTTCTTACGATCTATCTTATCCGTAAAGAAAGAGCATAATCGATTGCAGCTGCGCTATACCAACTTGAAATGCTTTTAAAGGTTGTAAAGATTATGCGATACCGCGGGATTAAAGACCTATAGCTATCTAAAAGAGAGTTTTTCTTTAACGTGGTTTGTACTTTTGATTAGATAATACTTTGCGTTTCTTTATTTAGCACGTCGCCGTACCTTACTTATAAGAGGTCTCAAGGCGGCAGGCAAAGCCTGCCACCCATCCGACGTTAATAATAGAATAATAACAGCAATCAGCTGGGCCACGAGAAGCGGAAAATCTAGGCCTATTGTTTACTTCCGGCACAACGGACCGCAATGAAACAGCCACCCACTCTATTCTTGACAACGCACTCACCCCCTCCTGAACTCCCGCACGCATTTTCATTCCCACGAAACAGATTCTCATCCGATGGCCCCTGCCAACACGTCTAAGCGAAAAGCTTTTTGATGAAGAGCCCCACCCGCCCGAAATGTTTCATGTCCTCCAATCTCCTTGTCGGTAAAATCATAAAATCATATTAAGTAATATATTATATATAAGTGGGATGCCCATCTCTAGTAATGGCGTATTATATTCCTCGACATTCCCTCTTGTGACCCCTCGACAATCGTTTGTTTACTGTCGTTTCATTCTTTCGCATTTGCTCGCATCGATTGTCGAGATTCCCATCCCTTTTCCAACCATGATCTATTCTACTTTGTGCAAAGCGTTGCTGTTGAGCAGCTCGTTGGTGGGCTCTGCCGGTATGCGACCTCGAAACTTGGAATAGTTAGAAGAGAGAGATCTAATGAAAGCAGTCGCTCTACCTCGTGAAAATGACCTGAAAGTCAGGGCTTCGGGTTCCCTTCCCAGCGGCACATCTCTTCGCATACTGCCTCTAGGCGACAGCATAACCTACGGCTTCCAACAAAACCCCATGAATTCTTACCGCCGCTTCCTTCAATGTTCGATCTCGACCTCCGGTGTCCCCGTAACCTACGGTACGTGATATAAAAGCATACCTTACCCATCCCCCCCCTCCCAACAGTCAAGGAAAGCAATAGCTGACCCCCTTTTGTCCACCAGTCGGCTCCACCACCTCCGGCGACTGGGACAACAACAGAAACGATGGTTACGTGAGCCAGGAGATAACCGCCATCGGCACCTCCGCCTCCTGGATCCTCTCCCAGAGCCCCCCACCGAACGTCGTGCTCCTGCACGCCGGCTCCAACGACATCCTGCACAGCGTCGATGTCGCCAACGCACCGGCTCGCCTGGGCAAGCTCATTGATACCATCATCGAGTCCACGGGTGCGGCGGTCCTCGTGGCACAGATCATCCGGTTGGGCGAGGGCTACGAGGAATTCAACCCCGCGCTGGACACGTACAACGCTGCCATCCCCGCCATCGTGGCAGAGCGCGCCGCGGCCGGTAAGAGCGTCGCCGTGGTGGATATGAGCGGTGCCGTCGACCCGAGCGAGCTGCTCGATGGCATCCACCCCAAGGCGGCGGGCTACAAGAAGATGGCGGCCTTGTGGCTGGAGGGGTTGAAGGGCCTGGAGATTAAAGATGTCACAGGGGCGTTTGAGGATTTGGGTGCTACCGCTGTGCCGAGTAGCGGGAACTGCGCGGATTTGGCGGCTTAAAAAGATGGAGGCTGGAGGGAGGTGCTGGCTTCCTTGCGGTGTAAACTTTAAGCGATTGGAACACGGCGATCGCCTCGGTTCCAAAATTCGCGGCTCTATTGAAGGCTGTGTGGCTGGTGAAAGACCTCGCCGCGTATATACGTGCTAAAGTTTGTATATACGGAGTACACTTATATAAAAAGTGTAATCTCATCTGCCCTCGAAAAGACTTGAACAAATAAACAAACAGTATCTTGAGCAAAATGCTATCTTGGGTATGCTGCACCGCTGCTCTACCATATGAAAGTCGACTAAAGCAACCTTATCAATCGTAGTAGTAGTAGTAGTAGTGGTGTTTGTGACGACCTTAAGCGATTACCTGAGGAACTCACGGGAGCGCGGGGGATCACATGGAGCTTAGAGTCAACAACTACCGAGTGTAGAGGTTGAAGGAAGCTGAGGTTTGTATACACGAAGGTAAGGAGCGCCAAGGACGCGTGAACCATGGTTCACGGGTGAAAAGAAGGGAACGAGAGAATATGAGAAGGAAAAGAAGGAAGTAGCTTGGCGCACATGAGAATAAGCCCAGGAGACCTGGCCTGTTATCACAGTATTGTTTTAACGCTTCTTGCGGGTCCTAAAGAGGAGTCCGACTTACCACCTCCTTAAGGGTATAATAGCGTGCCGGCATCAGGTCTTGATTTGAACATTTCGTAAAGAAGGTGGTGCTAATTAATTGAATAGTTCTTTAAGTACAAAGTTCATTTATATTAATAAGATCAAAAACCCGTAAGAAAAAAGACGCAAATCGATATAAAGTCCTAAGTCTTTGATCCCGCGGTATCGCAGCTTTAACATATCTTAATGCTTTTTGTTAACGGTATATCTGGTTACATTTGATTTAAGTGCTGTGGTCGCTTTTTATTGCGATAAGTTATTAATAGCTTGATATACCGTCTTTTTGATTATTTAATCGAGTATCCGATCAAGATTTTTTTTTTCTTTCCTTTTCGTCCGACCTCTTATATCCGTAATCGATTGTAGTTGTAAGCGTTTTCGAGCTAGCCTTTATTAGAGGTTCCTTTAACGTATAGCAATTCCGAGAGTTCCGAAAAGCTAAGCCGCTACCGTATCTACTTCGTTTTTTTAGCGTCTTCATATAATCGATCGTAAATACTGCTTTCTATATCGAGTTCGAAAGAAAGCCGAATTCAATTATCAAATAAAGTTATCAAGCTAGTCGGTAATATCGAGTTCGAGTTACGTATAAAAGAATATATTGTAATACTTATTCCGTATTTTTAATCGTCGTTCGTTCCACCGATAAATACAAGAAATACGACTAGCATTAAAGTGCATCGCTTCGATTACTTATAAGACTGCGTTATTTAATTGGCTTTACGAATATTATTAAAAATATCGCAGGTTCGTAGCCAGCGCCACGCACAGGCTCAGAAATCCGTCGTCGCTGGCCACAACCCTATCCATGAACAGACGAAGCGATATACTATCACTCACCATCCTCACAATCTTATTAAAGCCTTCTTTCTCGCTCCAGCAAGCGTCAACAAACGAAGGCCTTACTCCGTATCTCCTTGGATTTGTTCGAATACCATCTTAGCCAGCCGCACGATGACGCCTACATTATCTTTCTGCAGCAAACCTACTCTTTATCTTTCCAGCTATACGGAACGGACATCTAGATAGATTGGTAATGGTTTAGGGAAAGGGAGGGGAAGGCAAGGGAAAGAAAGGACCCGAGGGTTTTCTGTATCAACCGCGAACGTCATGATTAATTTAATTGATTAACATAGCACTTACGTACGTAGTAGTTTAGGAAAGAGAGGGGGAAAAGGGGCCGAGGATGTTTTGAATTTTAGATTCCATTCGCGGGCGTTGTGACTGATTGATCAATTAATCCCAAACAGCAGACGAGTCACGAGAGCCTGGGTAATATAATCCATCCGCCCGCATATCTACCTACGGAGTACGTACGCATCATGGAATGCAATTAGGTAGAGGAATATTCCATTCGGTGATATTGTTGAGGATCGAGATTAGGGATAATTTGAAAATGTGAATAAGTAGATAAACAAATGAATAAGGATAATACTTACGGCCCGAGCTGTACGGAAAGTAAAACATATACTACTACTAGTACGTACGTCGTAACCAAGGGGTTTATTGTGGAACTAAACTTTTGAGGCACCCTTAAGGGGTAACAATCACGACTGTACCGTGTTAACAACCGCAGTTAAGTAGCACGGAGTGCGGAGCATTCATCATGCGAAAAAAGCTTAGGGTGTGTATAGCTCGCAGTTGCACGTTTGTGCAACTACCGGTAGGCAGTTGAATTAATCTTAAACCGGAACAACTTCACTTAACAATGGAAGTTGTACGTTTTAAGGCTCGTATGGCTCGCAACGAGAAAATTAAATAGCAATCTGCAACTTAAAAGACTTGAGAAAAAATTAATCCGTTATGATTACTAATCATTCTTTCGTAGTAAACTTCAGATTAATAACGCTACCTCGTCATGTCGATTCTTTCAAACTCGAGGTTTCTCATCAGAAAGGCTTTCCCCGCGAGTCTCTTTCTTACCACGGTACAGGCCTAAGTATTACCCCTCGAGGGTGCCTTAAAAGTTTAGTTTCCACTTTAAACCCCCTGTTTTCCCTACCCTCGAGGGGTAATACTTACGCCTGCGACGTAGTAAATCCGCATGTATCGAGTATTCCGCATTTTGGCTTTGGGTGTTAACAAGTCTTCTATATATCGAAAATATTTTGAAGAGACTCTTAGGTTGTTTTTAATTCTCTATAAGTGGCTTGCAAAGAGCTCTTCTACTTATTACAGACCTGTCATCTTTAAAGTATGCTAAAGTGTTTTTGCGAGAGTGTTTTTATAATATCAAGTAGCGGCGCATGCTCTTATCGCAGCGATAATAACACCGATATTGCGATTGCGCAAATTACGCTTTCTCAGAATATCTATAAAAGAAGCTTTTGCAAGAAGGTAGCGTTGTGAAAGGATGAAAAGATAGTCAAAATAAGCGGAAACAAAAGGGGGAAGGGGGAAGGAGAAAGGGGGGGAGGGGAGGGGTAAATAGCTTGCAACTTGGAAGTTAGAGCTTTTTGCTGTAAATTCGATTTGCATAGTGCAATTGCAAGTTGTAAGGAGGTCAGATGCATACCTTATAAGATTCACGTGCGCGAGCTATACAGATTGCTCAATTCTTGCATCTTGACGTGCAACTTGAAGATGCAAGAATATTCTGGTAATGCAACTTGGCTTGCATCTGCGAGCCATACAAGCTCTAAGTTAGCCAAAATCAGTGGAGTAGATATATGCTTGGCCGTTTCACTCTCTCCTACCGTTTAATTGTACGGTCACCTAGGCATACCGGTATCCTAGCTCCCTATTGTTTCGTTGATATGATCCCTTCTACCGAACGGAAAAACGGAAGAATGGAAGAAAAGGCAATTATGTAAACATTACACCTCATCTCGTATCAGACTGTAGGTAGATAAGACGGATAAATATGGGCTTCCCCATCCCCTATTCACGAGAGCCCTAGCTTCTCCGCTACTTCCATTCTCTTAGGTCGGCAGACTCGCTACTATTCATTCTTTTACCCATCTATTCATTCTTTTTGTTGATCAAGGCTTTGAATAGAGAAGAGAAGACAAGGCGATAGACGTTGACTCCTTTATTCAGCTACTTACCTACCTTTCTACCGATCTATCTGTATACTGCATCCTTGTTTATGCGCTGATTTGCTTCTTACGATGCTCTCTTCACTTATCACCCTCGCTACTCTCGCCTCGGCCGTGGCCGGCGCACCCTGTGTCCTGCAAGCCAGGAACGGGAGCGCTTTCGAATACATTTTCGCTTTGTAAGTTTACCTTCTGTGTCTTTCTTATACGATGATCTATGCCAGCCTATCTTGTCCTATCCCGTTCTCCTCTTTGGCACGACCCATCTCTCCACTACCACTACTTCCGTCTGCACCAAACCACCTACCTATCTGTGTATCCATCCACTCACTCACACCTCTCTTCTCAGCGGCGACTCCTACACCCAAACCGGCTTCGACATCACGCTCGCCCCTCCGTCAGCCCAGAACCCCATCGGCAACCCTCCGCTACCAGGCTTCACCACCAGCGGCGGCCCCAACTGGCTCATCACCCTCCTCACCAGCCGGACTCCCAACATCCTCACCTACAATTTCGCCTCAGGGGGCGCCACCACCAACGCCTCCCTCGTCACCCCCTTCGCTCCCACCGTGCTTTCCCTCACCGACCAAGTCGCCCTCTTCAACACCCATCTGAACCCCGGCGGATCATCGCCATCACCAGCCGCATCAGCCTGGACCTCCTCCAACTCCCTCTTCGCCATCTGGATCGGCGTCAACGACGTGGGCAACGGCTGGTACACCTCCAGCTGGGCCACCACCCTCCCCGCCGCCCTGATGGCCGCCTACACGGCGCAGCTGGAATCCCTCTTCGCGGCCGGGGCCCGGAACTTCCTCGCGCTGACCGTGCCGCCCATCCAGCGCACGCCGATGATGCTCACCAACGACGCCTACGCCCGGGACTCCGTGACCCAGGCGGTGGCGAAGTACAACGCCCTGCTGACTGACGCCGTCGCCAAGTTTGCCGCGTCCAAGGGCGACGAGGTGAGGACGTGGGTGGTCGACTCGACGCCGGCTTTTGAGCGCGTGTTGAACGATCCCGCGGCCTATGGGGCGCCGGATGCGACGTGTTTCAACGAGGATGGGGTGAGCTGTCTTTGGTTCAATGATTACCATCCCGGGCAGGCCATTCAGCGGTTGGTGGGCGAGGCGGCGGCGGCGGCGCTGGAGATTTGATTCGAGATGGTGTGCGTAGAGATGCGATAGTAGGATCTCAACAGACATGCCGAAACGAAAATAAACAAATTAAACAATCGAATGAAGATTGAAAAATACCCCCCCACAAAAAAAACGTCCCCCAAGATCTAGAATCCCTCGCTATGAAATGAACAAATATAAACGTACTAAACCCCATCGTAAAAGATAAATAGCTCAAGAAGACGAAAAGGAAATCCAAGCGACGAAGTAAAATCACAACATGGAAGTCACACCAAAACAAACTTTCGACCACGACCTACTAACACATCATAAATTTGAATCCCCAATCTCCTCGCCCTCCATCTCTGCTTCTCTCCGTAGCCAGCCAGTCAGTCAATCAGTGATTCCAAAAGGGTATTTCAGAACGGCAGATGCTCGCTCGTCCCTCCGCAGTTGATACGTAGATCTTCTCGGCCTTCAATCTACGATCGATGTCGTGGTTATGGCTGAAGGCTAAGAGGGGATCGCTAGCTAGCTAGCTACCATTCATTTAGTTGGACTTGAAAGAGGAAAGAAAGATGAGAGAGAGGTTGAGAAAGCCTGGTATCATACGATGAGTTCTGTTTCGTGCTTCGGTTCAGTTGTTCAATAGTGACGATCAGTGTAGTGCGATGAGAGGAAGGAGACGAAGTAAGGTAGGTAGGTAGTTGATCCGAGATCTCGCGATATGCGAATGGAGAGCTACCTTCGACGCGCTACCTCGAATACACAAAATAATGGTTGCTGATGTCTTGAGTTTGATCAGAAGTAAATAGATCGATCCACCACCGCGACCGATTTTCCGCTGCAACCTGGTAGGTAGTAGATTCGATCCCCGTACTTACTTACAATCGATCCTTCGCATGTACGCTCCAATCTACCCTAAAAACCTCGTAACAACATCCGCGAACACCCCAGGCTTCTCAACCATAGGCAGGTGTCCCGCGCCATCGATAACCTCATAGGCCGCCCCCGCCCCCGCCCCCGCCCCCGCCCCCTCCCCATACGCAGCAGCCATCTCCTTCATCGTGCCCGGCAGCACGCCGTCCTTGCTACCCACCACAAACGCGCCCTTGACTTGACTCCCCCTCATGGCCTCCCGGAGATCATACTCAAACAGCGCATTCACGCTGCTCTTGAAACCCTCTAGACTATTGCTCTTCACCATCTCCTTGACCCTCAAACACGTCTTCTCCATCGCGCCGCCGTCGTAGCTCTCAGGTACGAACCAGCGGCGCGTAGTGATCTCCGCCAGTTCGTCGCCCACGATCTTCTCCCCCGAGGCCGCGCATGCGTTTCCCTTCTCCGCGAGCGCGATGCGCTCTCCCCACGCCTTCGAGTTGCCCGCGGGGGACTTGGAAGACGTGTCGCAGGATATGAAAGCGGCTACGCGTTCAGGGTATTTCAGCGCCGTGTTGAGGGTCGTGCAGCCCCCTAGCGAGACGCCAATGACGGCCGCTGCCTTCTTCACCCGCAGCGCATCCAGTAGGGTAATGATGTCGGCTGCCAAAACATCCACCGTGACTTTCTCGCTGCCGGTCGAGGACGACCGGCCGCGCGTGAGGTAGCGCAGGACGCGGTATTTCCTGTTCGCCGGCACCGCGAAGAACGCCGCCAGGAACCCGTCCCAGATCCCGTAGTCCACCAAGATGGAATTGCTCAGGACGATCAGCGGCGCGTCTGTCTCCTGCGATCCTTCAAGGCGGTAGGGGAGTTCCACCCCATCTCTCATGGTAACGAAGCTCTCGATAGCGCCAAACCCACCGCTCGACTCCGGCATCGTCCTCGTAATTGAGCTCTTCACATCCGAGGACTCCCAACTCGCGAGGTTCGAGGCAAGATACCGCGGCGCTGGCCCAAAGGTGTAGTATAAGTCGTAGACCCGTCTCCTCTTACCCTTGACGACCGACGTGCCGGTCATAATCTTCTTCGACCAGTCCGTCGACACGGCGGCCTGGAACTCCTCCCCGCCGAGCCCGTTCTGGGGAGCGTATTCGTGCAGCGCCAGATATTCCACCGCGGCGCTCTTGTCGATGCTGCTCGTGACGAACCGGCGCGTGCGCAGCCAACCCGGGATCTTCGACAGCATATGGACGTGCTCCTCCTGGTACCACTTCTCGATCTCGACGCTGTTCTCCTCGCCCGGCTGCAGCGTCAGGAACACCGCCACGACCACGTTGCCCCGCCCTTCGTTCTGCACCTCCTCCAGCGCGGTGAAGTCCTTGCTCGCCCAGGTTTGTAGATGGTCGTACAGTTTCCGGTCCACCGTGATCTCCTTCATGGTGTCTGCCTCGCGCGGGCTCTTGACCGGCGGGTCCCGGAGCCGCAGGTAGGCATCCCGGGTGAGCTCGGCCATGTCGGCGATGTCGTAGATGGCCATCCATTCCGGCTTCTCAGCGGAGCCGGTGCTCCCGACCTCGAGGTCGTTGGCGCGGTACCGGAATCCGTTTGAGACGAAGGGGAGGCGAAGTCGGGTAGGGCCGTGTTCGTTGTTGTACCAGTCGTGGAACTTGTCTAGTGGGAGAGAGGGCTTCGGTTGCATAGTCACATAGAGGATGCCGGGCGTGGGAGACATGGTTACGGTGTTCGGGGGCTGGATGCAGAGGGGTGTGTATCTGTAGATGGATGTAGTCGTTCGGTGGTCGTTGGAGGTAGTCGTTGCTTGCTTGCTCCAGAGATGAAATCTTCGTGAACAAATAAATTTAAACAGAATCGAGTTTGAAGATAAAAAGCTTTGTATTCCAAAAAAGATATTGAAAAGAGGGCCCAAAGGAAGAGATCTTAACCGACCTTCTCCCCTCTGTGCCCTCCATGCTGGTTGATGGAGGGGCGGCAGTACGACAGTGCGGGGTCTTCAAGGTCATGGAGAGGTAATAAATGTTTAGGTTCCGTTCCGATACGAGAACGAAAGATTTGGGCAGATACGGTATGTATGATAATCGTCGGTTACCTTCAATTTTAATTCGAAAGAATTGATCGACTTGCTGTAGCAAGTCGGCACCACCAAGGCGGACAGTAACGGAACACAACCTATCAATCAACAACTACTAATATAAATAATAAAATAAAAATATCTATCTGCTCAAAAAAACTTTACTTCACAAACGTGCAATGAAAATACAAAGACGCATTCATTTGTGGTGACCAGAAATATTAAAATATAGTGAAAACATAGCTAAAAACCGTCCTAAATAATTCAATTGTACTTGTCTGCCTTGAATATCTTAATAACCATAGCCTTAATAAAAAAAAACGTTCAATCGATCGAAAACAAGCGATCTAATCTATCATACTACAAAAGCTCTTACTTATCAAAGAGAAGTTAGCAGCGATACACGTATTCCTCCAACAAGCTTTAACCAAAGTCCGATTTTTCGTGCTCCTCACTTGTTCCATCTACTATCTACACGGCAATTCTACCTAACACCTATATACGCCCTTGAACGCACGAAAACTAATCAGGCCGAAAAGGCCACCCCAAGGACCGTTTTCATTACTTTAACCTAACACAATAAACGAGTAACAAATTATGATTAAGATTTAATTAATGGGTTTATATCAATATCAATATGGTGCAGCTTTCTGTACAGAAATAATCACGAGATATTAGCTGGTTGGGTTTATGTTCATGATAAAGGGGCAGATTTGTACTGTCCCGCCTTGATGGGTGTCCCGCTTGGCGCCAGGTCGCGATTTTTTACAAATGAAGTTCAGGGTTGAGCGACGATTATAGCAGAGGAAAAAGCATGACTTGACATAGATAAGCGACTCTTGAGAGATGCTTCATTCTGATCAATTGGATCGAGAGAATGAGAGGGAAATTGACGCCGATAAAATCGAATGAGTTGATTCTATAAGCACGACTGACTGTGCTTGGCCTCCTTCGGCTTGGTCTATCAACATGCCCGGATGAAAAAAGTTACGATCGATTTGGCAAGCCATCTCATCAGTTCTATCCCATCTCCACCTGTCTTATCTCCCTCCTCCCTTAGTCATACCAGATAGCGTTCATCCCGAACCCCGGCTCCTTCACCTCACACCGCGCGACCCTCGCCAGAAACTCCCCCTGCCACCGGTAGATCTCCAGCCCGCCGTCCTGATCATCCGTCAGGGCCAGCCACTCGTCGCTCCAGTCGCACGGGCTGACAGCGTTGCTGTGCCCGCCGCTCGTCGGCGTCGGGTTCAGGCAGATCTGGCGCTCGATGTTCCCCTCGGGCCCCAGCTTGAAGGCTGCGATGTAGCCTGTCAGGGAGAAGGAGTTGGCGCGCGAGGTCGCGAAGAGATATTGGCGCGAATGCGAGAGGGTACAGACATCTGAGCGGTACATGGTTTTGGGGTTGGGGATGCCT